TTTTGTGACATTAGACAAGTTACTTAACATAAGCCCCAGTTTCTTCATATGCACAAAATGGATGATATTCTCACAAGATTATTGCTTGGATTAAGATAGTGCTTGTATAACAAACTGATATTTATGGAATCTCACTGAATGATGAGGATAATATCTGAAAAGTTCTTTCTGATGGTTATTATTGATAGGAGGAATATCTGCCAAATGTCAGCTTTGAAAGAATAGTATCATTTGATTGTGAACTAAAAATAGGCATCAAAGACAAAACTATCACTATGTTATGGCTTAACATAGTAATAATGTTAAGATAACATTCCAGTATAGAAACCAACAAGTGTAGGTGTTGGTCTGACCACACACCCCTTTTAACCAGAAAGAGGTAGGTCACTACCCTGAAAGGCCAGAGATTCACACCTCTGTTAATTTCTTCAATTCCCTTGGCCTTGATCTTTTTCAATAAATAAAACCTTTTTCACATTGATATTCTTGGTCTTGTTGGCCTTAATGCATAGGAATATCTATTTCCATACCATATGGGTATAGTTTTGCTAGTAATCAAGTTTACAGAATCTGTGTATTACCAGGATTTGCTGACTTAGTACTAAAGTGTTATGAGCTTCTTTTGTATATCTCACATTTGTCAGTACTGTATCTTTCATCTTCTGCACTACACAGTTAGTAAACTGTGGAAGCAGACTTTGTGTCATACTTAGTTCTCTGGTTAGAGCTGGGTCTGGAGGTAGACTACCTGTTTCTGAATTTAGGCTCTACTGTTTACTTGTTAGTTAAACAATTTTAGTATTCACTAACTTTATTCTGTCATGGTCATAATTTCCTCATGTTTATTAATCACACTAATATTCAAATTGTAGGATTGCTGTAAAAGTTAAATGGGATAATCTAGGTACTAGAACCTAATGCAGTGGCTGTATAGGAAATTCCTGACAGATATTATTTATCAATTCTAATGCCCTTTTGGTAAGATTATACTTTCTACCATGTGAAGGTAGGTGTGACTAAGTGACTTGCTTTTGCTAATGAAATGTGAGAGGAATTAATGTATGCAAATTTTAAGCAGAAGCTTTTAAAGCCAGTACAAATGCCAATGAGAATGTACTTTCAATGTAGCCATGCTCTATGTTTCTAGGTCCAGAAGCAGACACTTCATGGAGACTAGAAGTTGACTGGTTGGAAAATATTTCATGAGTATGAACTAGACTTTTGAGATTTGGGAGGATATCTGTAAGTGTGCATGACAAATGGATCAAATATATTCCTCATGTCCTCAGAATTCATTGTTTAAGACTATTCATTTTAAGACTATTACTTGTTCAATATCTTTGTATCTGTATGCCTTTGGTTATGTTTTATTTCTATAGAAAAAATATATTTCCATGGCTGCATAATAATCATTTAGCCAGCTAAAAATCTGAACTTTGAGCAGGGTCAGCATTAAGGTAAGTCCATGTTACCCTCAGCTCTGTTTCATCATTTTCTTATACCTTGATACTCTGTTCATAGTCATTCAGCAATTTAGGAAAATTTAGTTATAAAGTCATGTTTTTTTCTCTTTTATGAGTTTCCTACCAATGATACTCATATAATTTATAAGCCATTCATTGTAATTCTTTGGCTTAGATTAGCAATACTTATATCTTTCAAACATAAATAAATTATTAAAAGAAAAAAGACAATGGCATAATGAGAATTAATTTACTTAATGCTTTCTATGTGTTCCTGAATTCCATGAAAATAAAAACTGGGAATTTAGAAATCTCTAAAAGAGCTTACTGTAAAATAAAATTCAGAGATTCAATTTCTTAACTACTTCTTCCTAGACATTTTCCAATTACATATAATAGTAGGCTTAAAAATATCAGCTCAAGGCCCTCCCTGGTGGCGCAGCAGGTTAAAGCACAGCACTAAGAAGCTTAAGTCACTGCTGCATGAGTTCGATTTCCGCCTGCCCCGGAGGAGATCCACATGGCGAGGCAGACTTCTCCTGAACACCCGCTGCTCCCCTCAGCAGTGTACTTCGTAGATCTGCCTGTTCTGTTCCCTGCTATGTCTCTGGTGAATCCTCTCACCCTTCGCATCTCTGGCCTGTACCCCAGTTCTATATGAATAAATAAATCAATCTTTAAAAAAATATATCAGCTCAAAACTATCATTAAATATTTTTTGTTACTAATTTCCCCCCAAATTAGTCTTGTTTCTAACTTTGAATTTTTTTTTACGACCAGTTCAGTTTATGGTTGGAGCCTATCCCCTTAGGCAGTTACAAGAAACTGTCGAAGAAAATAATACTCAGAGGTAGTTAAAATTGTCTTTAGAGAAAGAAAGTGCATTCTAATATTCTTAATGTTTAGAAATAACAAGTGCAAAGTGAACAGCAGAAGATTTAGAGTGGGCCATCAGAAGGAGGGTTATAATGTCAAGCTGTTTTTAAATATGAATACAAATAATAACAAGTGTATTGTAACACTTTTACCATGTATGGAATTTTGGCTTCAGAAGAAGACTATAAGCTAGATAATGACGGTAAGCATACCGTTCATTTTTTTAGTACCTAAATAGAAATGCCACACGAGGAGGAGGATGCTGCCATAAAAGGTGTGTGTTTGATTAGAGAGGACTTTTAGTACTGGAATAATTAAGAACTGCTTATGGTCTTGAACAAGTTACTTAAAACTTTGGATCTCAGTTTTCTCATTTGTAAAACTGAACTGGATTAGTTGTTATCACTAAAAGAAGGGTAACTCTCAAACTATGAAATCTGTAACAAAGTACATTCTTTTTAAAAACTTTGAATAATCAAATTTTCTAGTAGAGTCAGTTAGTTTGTATTTTAAATCTGGAGACTGTGGAGACTATGGTAGATACTGCAGGCTGGCTCACTCATCCATTCAAACTCTTGCCATTGCCTTCCTCTAGTACAGAAACTAGAAAATAAATAATAAATAAGAAACAAAATTTCCTATCCCCTATCCTTGCTTTCCTTGCAAACAACTGTGGTCAGTAGGGAATGGGGAGAGTCTATTTCACATTTATTGAGAAATCTGTTTACCTTGACATAATATATCTTATTGTATTTCCTTTTACCCATACCTTGTCTTGGCCTTTCAAACCCGAATGAATGACTAAAGCTGCAACAGACTTTTTGTAACAACGAAGAAAGGACCTTAAAAATCACAAAGCCCTGGCTACCAAACCAAATCTTGTCTCTACACTTCTTACTGTAGAAAGGATAAAAATGAATAAATAAAGCTTAGTTTGCTCAGGCCACTTCTATCTAGATCCTTCATAACTGAAAGCAAATCTTAACTGTTGGAGGGACTGAAAATAGATACTTTCAAAGACACCTTGGAAATTGCACAGGTCCAAAATGAATAATGTTATAAAAATATATTAGAAATAAAGTAAAAAAATAAAATAGAAAACATAACATATTCCCACCTACATAATTATCATTTAGTTTTAACCTAAGTGGTGCATCTTTGTATTATTTTGAAATACTTTTTTCCTGTTTCTTAATTTTGTTATAAACTCATTTATTAAAATAGTTCATGAGAATGTCTGTATTGTGGCCCCTATTTTAACTATTAGTTAGTACATATGAACCACAATATGGATAATATATTGTAGAGAAAAAAGAAATATAAAGATGGTATCCTAAACATGATTATGTTAAAAAAAGAAATTGTACATGTATATTCATATGACAAACAACATTATGCAGATGGTTGAACACCCTAGGTTCAAAGGTAACATTAAATATATACTTTCTCATCATAAAGTAACATACCAGTAGTATACTAGAGGTGAATTATAATGGTTAACTCAAACAGACTGAAAATAACCCACAAATAGTATTTTTTTTACATGCTTCCTCTAACTTAATTGATATTAAATACTTATGTTAAGAATTATTTTCTAATAAGGACTTTAATTTACTTACTAATGTGTATAAATACAGGCATACACATAAAAATATGAGATTTTGAAATCTTTCACTGTTTGCTGGTTAGTTTTAGATTTGAGATCTGTATATCATAATAATATGAAAAAATTTATAAAAGTGGATATGAAATCTATTTTTTTTTTAAGATTTATTTATTTGTACATACAGAACTGGGGTACAGGCCAGAGGCTCAGGGGCGGTGAGAGGCTTCACCAGAGACAGAGTGGGGAGCAGAACAGGCAGATCAACGAAGTACACTGCTGAGGGAAGCAGCGAGCAGGTCAGGAGAGGTCTGCCACGCCATGTGGGCTCCTCCCGGGCAGGCGGGAATCGAACTCATGCGGAAGTGGCTTTAGCTTCTCAGTGCAGTGCTTCAACCCGCTGCGCCATCAGGGAGGGCCCTGAAATCTATTTTTTAAAATGAAACGCTCTGTAAAGTCCAAAATGCAGAGAATTTTCTTTGACTGGTTCGTAATTCAAAAACTTGGTTTGACAACCTGCCAGTGTGCACACGGTAACAGAACTTCACATCTGCATGCCACCAATGGTATTTCAGAGTTTTCATAAGTGAGCAATGGTTTGTGATTAAACCTCACTATGACCCATATGTTTCTACATAAGATGGGAATTACTAAAAGCAGAGATAGCATAGTCATCTACTTTCCATTCAAAATTTAGCAAGGGAAAGAAATCCTTAATGGGTCACATTATAACCTCTATTACTGTTCAGACCTTTCTCTTCAGTGGGGAATTCCTGAATAGATGATGAATAATACAATATTCATTGGTGCAGACCTAGAAACAGACAAAATTAATTGAGAAAAAAACTGTCACTTAAACCTCCTGAGGGTGTTATCATCACCAACCGTAAGATAAATTATTTTCAAATTGAAATTACTTCTAGGAAAAAATGATCTCAGTGAAAACTGGTCTATTAATTGAGAGGACTGACTGAGTATATGCTGAAAACTTTTTTAAGTTAAACAAAACAAAGACCCATATGAAAGGAAAATAGTACAGTATGTAATAGACACTGGCCTTGCAGGTTGAGTGGTTTCTGGGTTCAAGAAACTCGGACTGATGCTGAATACATCCTTCTTCTCTCTCATTATAGATGCCAGTGGCCCACTTATAAATCTGATTGGCAAACTCGAACTTCAAGGCTGTCTTGCAAGGAGTCCTATTTCTGGGAGGCAGATACACAGATTGTGGAAGTCTTAAATGTTATTCTTAGGACTCACATAGCTCTTTGTTTTTATCCTTTCATATTTGATAATGTATAAGGAAAAAGCCAGGTTGGCTGAGGCCTGAAGCTTATGCATTATAGAGCTTTTAAGTAAAATAATTCTAAACCATGAGTAAAGGGACTTAGAAAGTACCTGTGTGAATGAGGGTCCCTGAAGTCAAACTTCATTAGTTCAAGATAAAATCCTGCTCTGGTAGCATATTATCCTACTTAAATGTCTTTGCTTATTACTTCTAAATTTATTTTTTAAATGCCATCACCCTAAAATTAATATTCAGAAAAATAATTTACAGTATCTGCTCAGTGTTCTGCACACAGTGGGTGTTTAATTAATTTTGTTGACAGTGTCCTAATGAAAGGATGCGATTATTTAATTCCTAAGAAACAATGTTTATTTTAATCACAAAGGAAAAAAAAAAGTTAAACACAGTGTCATCAGCAAACACAAAGAAGTCCTAATGGCTACACCTCCAGAGAGAACCACTGATGAAAACTAAATCAAGTCCAGTACTGGGCAGTCCCACTTTAGCAGCTCAGCAAGGAAACGACTGCATTCAGTCTGGCCATGTTAGGCAAAGCTGTGGGAACAACAAACCTCCAAATTTCAGTTTATTTCTTATTCTCATTTTTGTCCTCAGTGAGCTGGTGGAGGCCTTCATTTCTGGAAGCAGTCCTCATCTGGAAAACTGCAGACAGTGTGACTGAGAGCAAAGAGAAATGGAGGAAACACAAGGCTGTTAAATTCTACTTGGATATGCCACACATCATTTATGCTAACATGTCATTGGCCAAAGTCAGTCTGGCTTTGGTATCACTGGAATGGGAGATATGTCCCCTTATGAGTGCCACAAACATTGCAAACAATAAAACAAACAAACAAACAAACTTACCCAGTACTTCTCTATATAAACAAAATGATCACCACAAATAACCTCATTTACTGTCCCTCTATGACTCAAACTATTAAAACCATGGAGGGTTAGCATGAGGCATTCCCTCCCCTTCTCCTTCCTTCCCCACTCCCCCATAAAATGAAGACTATTATCAATCCTCTTTAAATCTAGTTTTGCAGTACCTTACAGTAAGAGATTACTGTGTTGAGGGCACTGCATTCATCCCTGTGGGTAAAAATAAGTATGAATAGACACATCAGAATGTCAAGTAAATTATCTAGATATTCTGCCCTAAAAAAGGCTGGATAACCACCACTTCCCCCTTTCCTTAAGTGTTGGTTTCTTATAGTGACTTCTTCCAAAGAGTACATTATGGAAAAGTGGAAGAAAAAGAGTAAATTTATAGTTGAGAAACCTGGCTAGCAATATTTCTGCCAGGTGAACATCCACAATGACAACCATGTTGCTAATCATGTTGATATGATATACTGATGATGATACTTTATCTCTATGATCTTCCTCCCTAACCCATTCATCCACGTCTCATGATTATGACAAAAACATTAGATGAGTTCCAACAGAGGGGCATCGTACAATAGCCTTGATCAACATTTCTCAAAGCAGTCAGTGACATCAAAAACAAGGAGATGGGGTTGTTTACTTCAATTTTGTTGAGTTTCATCAGTTCTCCATATATTTTTGTGATCAGTCCTTTATCGCTACTTTTGTGTGAGAAAATGTTTTCCCAATTAGTGATCTTTCTGTTTGTTTTTAGTAATGTC